AGGCGGGGAGCCGGTCTCTCACAGCAGCACTTGTCTTCTTCTGGCCACCTTGTGCAGGGTAACCTGCCCTGGCAGGCTTTGCTGCTCCCCATACCCGTTCTCCTCCTCTGATTTTTGTGCAGGCGGTTTGAGAAAGACAGGTGGATGTGTTTGATGGTTGCTGTTGCCCAGGAGGCTGTGAGAGAAGGGATGTGGAGAGAAGGGGATGGGTGGTGCTTTGTGGGGTTCAGCGGTGGGAAGGAACCACAGGGGCTGCCTGGCAGCGGTAACTGCCTCTCCCAGGAGGGTTCAAAATTCCTGTTCTGGCCTCTGTAGCTGCTGACGCTGGATCTCACCGGCCTTCTTTCAGCTCCTGTCTGAAGAATAACAATTTATCCGAGAGCCAGAGCTTCTTGGTAGTTCATGGGTTTTTTTCAGAAAGACTTTAAAGTCCTCCATTGGTTTACTGCTTCCGAGTAATAACCTTTTATAACACAGGACTCTGAAACAGTTGCAAATTGACTGCAAGATGGGGCAATTGGTTTTCCTTTCTTTTCAGCCCTGGAAGCAGACTGTGAGCCTGCACTGGGCTGTCACCACTCCCCAGCAGATAACTTTCTAGGCCTGAAGGAACGGGACGCTTGTCTGTGTAGGGTCACTGTTGCGTAAGCTGAGTGCAGTTTCATGTTGCCAGTCCTGTTTCGTTGACTGAATTTGCATTGCTGTACTTTAAAAGATTTATAGAAAAATTATCTGTAGTGGTTTTTTTTTTAAAAAAAAGGGGGCATTTTTTTTGTTTGTTTATGGTGATATATTGTACTGTTTAATAAAAGATTAAGAGAATGATAAAAGACGATGTCTTTTGCCTTTTTAAAATGCTGATTACTCTTTACTTAATAAATTGCATCTTGAATTCAGCTTAATGGAAAAACTATCCTGAAATGGAAAACAATCTTTACCAGCACTATCTATCTCAATGGATGATTTTTTTTTTTCTTCTCTGTGTCTAAACAAGATGCAGAAAGGAAGAGGAAAACATTCTTTCTAATTCACAGTCCTTTCATGTCAGGACTCCTAGTAGTAAAAAGACCTTCCTAGAATTTCTCCAAGTTTGGCCAAAAATTTGGGTTTCTGGAAGAATCAAAATAACTTCCCCTTGAAATTCCTAGATTTCTTTTCCTTTGTGGCTTTTATAATAATCATCATCATCATCCTCCTCCTTTCCAACTGAGGAATTGCTCTTCTGTGTTTCCGGGTTTTTCCTTGTAAGTAGGAAGATGGTGTTTATTCCAGAAGCTATGTCTAGGTACCAGCAGCATGTCAGGCTGCTCATCTCATGGGCTGCAGAATGCAGGGAGATTAAAAGAAAACCAGGAGAGCATAAAGGGGAAAATACAAATAGAAAGTTAATTTGTAGAGAGGTGTGTGGCCAGGAGAAAAAAGTAGGGAAGTAGAAGACCTGGTAAATAAAAGGGAAAAGGAGAAGAGAGTATGGTGATGGATGGCGAAGGAACAGGGAAAGCTGGAGAACTTGACTGGAGAACTTGACCCCTGGGCAAAAAGACTTTGTTTTGTTTTCATAAGACCTGGGGCTTAATTTCCAGTTTCGCTGAGCTTTCACAGAGATAGGAAAAGGGAATAAGGGAAATGTAAAAAGCCTGGGGTAATCACAGAAGATAAACAGTGCTCCTATGTAGTCTCACATAAACACTTGCATCAAATGCTAAAGAATGTACATCTAGAGATCAAGAGAATGTGAGAGAACTAAGGTTGAGATAGTCATATTGGGAGAGCAAGGAAACAATAAAAAATGATGTGCTATTTTAGTAGCATGGATATATGAGAGCTTTGAAAAATTGGTAGTGGAGTGGAATTTGGGAACCAGTAAATTAAATGGATTTTAAACTCGATAGGGAAAATAACATTCATAGAGGTTTGTATAAGATGTGATAGATTAAAATCTTTAACCTGGTAAATGTTTTTTAGGGTGTTTTGGGGGTTTTTTTAGAAGTTGTCACAGCAAGCAAAGTTCCAAGTTTTTGTAATCTTGACCTTTAAAACACTCTGGCCCTTAGACTTAACTTGTTTACATTCAGCTGCAATAACTACTTATTTTAATCACATCTAATCTTGGAAACCCATCTATCTACAGAGGGTTGCATATATGTTTTTTAATACTTAATTCTTCTATAATTACTTATAACAAGCTGTGTTCCTGTGCTTAGCAGTGGCTTTGGGGCTTGGTAGGAAGAAACTGATGGTAAATGAGTAATTCCCAACTTTTTGTGTACAAACTTCTGAAGCTGCTTTATCTGTTTTAATGCAAAAGCAGCCCTTAGAACTGAAGTCTAATCCCAGAGATGTGTTGATGCAAAATTATTTGCATGCCAAAAAGAGCCACTTGTGTGAAGAAGGATAAAAAAGTCGGCCTCAAGATGGATTTTGTTTTACAACAGTTGCTTAAGTATGTAAACTTGGTCTTATTAAAAAGAATGAGAAAAATCTGTATATTCCATTGGATAATCATAAATGTTTTTGTGTTATTCTTTCTTTCTTTCCAGATTTGAACATGGAATTCAACCCATCAGATCATCCACGGGCCAGTACGATATTTCTCAGTAAATCGCAAACAGATGGTAGGTTTCTGAATTTATTACAGTATTTGCTATATTGCATTTATCTCTAAACCCCTTCTTAGAATGCGTGTAATAGTCTTTCAATATATAATTCCTCTCCCAAAAAAGAAGCTTTTACAGGCATCATGTTAGAGTTGAAAGAAGTCACACTTTGAGTTAATTATTTTGTCAGACCATTACCAGAAGGTACAGGTTTGAGTCCTGTCACGTCCTGAAATTCTAAGTTCCTAGTAGTCGTTATATCAGAACTATAAATATGGATAAAGCTTAATATAACTGTATTTTAAAAATATTTTCCCTAAATCCAAAATTTTCTATGTAACTGTTTATTGGTTTTTTTTTTAAAACTTTAAACATTAAACCAAGCTTTTGGGAAATGTGTGGCGAGTATTTTCTTGAGAAAATGCCAGTTTACATTAGCTGAGAAGACAGTCCAGCGTTTCCTCCGATATAGCTCATACTTTAAATGGGCTTAGTACTAGATTTTAATAAAAAGAACCCCTCATCCCACCCAAACATTCTTTCTTCTTCTTTCACTATGGATTTGATATAATCATATATTTGTCTGGACTATTTTTTTTATTCATAGCCAAAATGATCCCCCTGGAATGACATCTGTTAAGCAAGCCTCTTGATAGAGTTAGTAGAATAGAAGCCATTTATTCTGGCTCTTTCATTCCCTGTTGGACATGTATGATGTTGTTTTAGGAGTATATGAATAATCGATGCAAAACACATTTTTTTCTACCAAGACTTTTAAAGTAGTTTCTACATTGTATATCTGACTGTGCAGTATGAATTATTTGTCCTTCTTTCTGCTCCTTATAAATGCTGGTTTTGATTTACATAGTAAATTGCAGTGTCAAACACATCACTTAAAAATAATTTATTTTTTACTTACTGTATATTTTTTGCTAATTTTTGAGCATGACTAGAACAAAGAGGCTATACATTTAGGCCCTAAATGAAGAGTTGATTATGTGAGTACCTCTTTTACCCTTCAGATTGTCCTTCTGAATTCGGCCCTGGTTCTGTCAATGCCTTATTTTGTGGTTTTGAATGTGATTTACCATTCTAATCTGGTTTAGTAGTCTGTAAGATGAATATGATAATATCATCATAGTACACTGTATTATGAAGATTGATGTCTATTTTATAGTATTTTTATAGTGTTTTGAGACTGTATAATCCCATATGAATGCTACATTTCTTGTTAGAGCTTGTTGAAAAAAAGAACAAAAGTCCAACAACTAAAATTTTCACCAGACCTGATGATTAATCTTACTTGTAATAATAGTGGTTAGTTTATTACAGTCTGTAGTTAATTCTAAGCATTATTTTTAAAATGACAGTTTATACCCATGCTAGAGTTGGTCTATGAAACTTTAGTTGAAGTAGTATGAAGAACATATTTTTGAGTGAGAACAATGAATTTAGTGAAACAATATAGAAACATTATCAACAGGAATGTAAGATCTGTTCAGCTATCCTTGATCACGATGGAGCAAATCCAAAGTCTGTCTTGGCTGTACAAAAGAAAAAAGATTCTGCAAACATTTATCTGCTGATGTATTACCAAGAACAGTTTCATTCTAGTGGGACAAGTCACAGTAGTAAGCATTTTGCTTGTCTGTACTTTGGGTCCATTGTGGAACCAGGTGAGCTGTAGGAGTCCTCACTCTATTTAAGGATTTTGCTTAACACCAAAACACAATAAAATGCTTGTTAAGGGGAAAATATAAGGGGTTTTTAGGGTGTGTAGGGTTGTACTCTGACAGCCTGCTGTGGAGCCTAGGGGACCCCTAAGACTTCTTAAGTTAGTGTAGAACGGGGACAGCTGAGCTAGCAATGTTGAAAACACCAAACGTGGACATGTAACTACCTTTCTCCGTTACTTGTATAGTATTGGGCTGGAAAACCTTCCTGTTGACTGTAAGTGAAAATATTTCTATAGACAAGAACTGCAGACACTTAAAATGGAGAGCTGAGGGACATCAAGACTCAAGGTTTCATCCAGGATGTATCTGTGACTCTTGAGCATTCACTATATGTTTCTACAGCAGGAAAGGACCAAGTCCATAACTACATGCTAGAGTGACTTGGCAACATTACCTTCAGGCAGTTCCGCATTTGGCTTCCTAGTAGCCTTATACTCTTTCAGCCACACTGGTAATCTTGTAGTACTGTCCTGTCATAGGAGCTGTGCTTGAGCTGCTTGTGATCAACATGTGAGTGAAGAGCAACAAGCTGACTACCCCAAATATAATGAGAAAGGACATGGCATCTCTGAATGTTACATGGTGTGAATTTCCCATTGTTCTGTGAAGCTTGCATGCCATGCTAAACATCTACATCTGTCCTGTCCCTCTTAGTTGGTAGTGGGAATGCATCCTTAATTACCTGAGTGTTCAATGAATCTGTAGAAAAGTTGAAGACAGAATAAATATTCATTTGATTCCTAATTAAAGTAGCTTTTCTAAACATTTCCAAGTCTTTGTGTGAGTTTTCTAGGTGCTGAATCTTACATGTGTAATTCTCCCAGTTTAGGGAGCTAGTAAAGAATATCACCTTTTTTTCTCTTTAACTTCTATGAGTGCTTTATGCAAGTTCTCCCTTGTTTGCTGTTTGTAAACAGGATGGTTTAGGTGATTGAAAAGCCATGCACTCTTTAGTGTGTGGTTGTGGTTAAGCCAGGGTTTCCAAACCTTAGCACTCCAATAATGTAACTTCCTTTCCTTATAATGGCAAGAGTGCAATGGTTGCTACTTCAGTGTGCTGGTAATGGTCTTTCCTGTAAGCGAGTCACAGCTGTCCACCTCTTCGAATTTACATTAGGCTTTATGTATTCAGTGTACTGGCTGAATTTTACAGTATTAGTGCAACAAAGGGCTTCAGACAAAGAAAATTGTATTTATGTAGTGGATAGAAGTGAAGTTCGCTGCACTTACTCTTTAATGTTAACTAGGACCAGTCTCCTGTCTCCAATCAAACAAAAAGGAATGAATTACAAGCCCCCACAATGCGAGACATTTTTATTGATGTAATCCTCAAGGATTTTGTCTTTGATCCTGATATGGGTAACATTAAGATAGCCTATAGAAATTGCACAAAGAAAGTTTCTGTTCCAGCTCAGTGAAAAATACATACACACATACATATGCACAAACATGTACATACATGTATGTTAAGTGTGTGTATATTTTCTCACTCCCTTTTATTTCAGGATAATATATTTTCCTACTATTGTGAAAGTTCAACAATAACAAATGAAAGTGCCTGCAGAAATATGGGCAGGTCATTGGCCTTAAATGAGGAAAACTAAGACAATTTGGCAGCATCTCAGTCTCCACTTGAAGAGTTCCATTCCAGCTTTCAAGTTTTAAAATATTAGAAAGAAAATAGAAGTTTAATTGTTTAAACTGACTCTAAATCTATCCAGCTTCATTTCATCAAAACACCATGCTTGAAAGCCAAAAGCCTGGAGTTGCAGTTAGGAGTTTATGCTACACAATAACTGTTTATTATAACAGTACGGTCCGGTCTGCTGAAGACCACACTGTGCTGTGTGAGCAGTGCAAAGCGTCTTTAAAATAACTGAAGCCAAGTGATGGAATTACCCCTTTACAATCATTTTAGCTTGGCAGAAGTGGCCTTTTTCCTTGTGTAATAATTGTCTTTCCCCTGTTTAAAGGGAGGGTTGTGATCACAGAAGACAGCAGTTGTGACAAAATAGGTTTCTGTTATGCCCGATTCCCATTGGCATATGTTCTGGAAAGAGTTGAGCCTTACGCTACGACAGAGTGGTCCAGAAGCACAACAGCACAGCTGCCTTCTCGTAGTCCCTCACCGGGGAATCCAGGCTAACTGAATTTCTGTTTTATGAGGAAAATAAGGGCAAGGAGGTCAATGTGGTGCTTAGAAGAATGTGCAGCACAAGCACTGATTGAGCAGGGAGAAGTGAGGAGTGTGTATAAATACATTAATATAGTCTTCTGGAGATTGAAATGGCAAATGAGAATGAGCTATGAGTGATATTCTTGCTTTGGTAAATTTTACTTTCCTGGTGAATTGAATAATATAATGGATACAAGGGAAAATACAGAAGAGAAAAACTAAGGTAGGGGGAAAAAAGGTGATTAAAATGGAATTTGGAGTGTATGTGCAGGCTGTCTTTATAGGATTTTGTCCATAAGAACTTTGTATGTGGTTTAATTGTTTGTGATTAAAACACTGTTAAATACTTAACTATATTCAAAATTTTGCAGTTAACAGGTGTTAATTTTCAGTTATGTACTCTGTTAGGTTTACATGCAGCTTATCAGAATTGTTTACTGCCTGTACATTGTAATCTGCAATACTAGACAAATACTTTGCCTATTCTTAGAAGTGAGTATCTACCGTAATTTTGTTGTTTCCCTTTAGATTACTTATGTCCCTTGCTGGTGATAAATGCAGTGTGTGGAACTTAAGTGTAGTGCAGTGTTTTAGCTGGATTTCAAGCAGTTTAACTGTTTACAAGACTATCAGAATTTTCCTGCTGTTCCTGTTTAATTCTGTTTCTAATACAATGTCCATAATTGTGGATCTGAGCATGTATAAGTGACATGGCTAACATCTGTCATGTGTGATTCTCCTTTCTGCTCCCTGGGAGGAAAATTATGTAAGGATTTTTTAAAAGTTTTTTCTTATTTTTTTCATTTTATGTCTGCATTAAACACAATTATTTCACAGTATTTGCACATACAGCCTTTTTTATGTGAGATTGCTTGCTTATAAAAAATCACAAATAATGGCTTCTCATCCAACAGGGAATGGACAGGCTATCCCACCATTACAAACACTCTTATTTTGCTAAGTGCATTGGGTTGCATAGCTTTCAAATCATGATGCAGCAAAGTGCATTTAATCACCTACGGAATGAAACCATTACTATTTTTATCCTGCAGTTTGATTTATGTGTTAGTTGCCTCCAGACTTGTATCCTAAATGCTGTGGTATTTTCACTGGAACAGAGCTCCACAGGCTCTCTATGGGGTGAGTTAATTGGGAAAGTGCTTTAAAAAAATTAAAGAGAGTATATTTAATCAGCTGTAATAAGCATTTGCCTGACAATTAAGACTCTATAGATCTATCTCCCTTGTTGTTGCTGTTTACTTTCTGAATATTTTGGCTAATTGTGGCTTTGACTTGCAACCCTTGCTTGTGGTGACTGGTTCATACTCACCAAAGTAATACTTTTTCATTGTTATATCCAGCATGAGCAACAGTTTCAGGCTTGCGCCTGATGGTTGCAGAAGGCAGTGATATAATGCATATATGGCTTCAAGGCTCCTCTATGGGAGTTAGTGCACAGTAAGCTATGATGAGAATCTGCTAACTCCATGGTGTAGCTATTTAGGTGCTTTCATACCTGCAAGGTAGTGTAGGCCACTGTGCAGCAAAGTACCTTGCACAAAGGTACTGGTGGTTCAGGAGTGCCAACACAGAGAACTGGTGAAGGATGGCTAATCCATTGCTAACTTGGACCGCAGCTTATTGCATATTAACTTTCCCATGCAGACCAACGCCTGGTGAAGTACCCAAAAGGATGAGAATTTTAATCCATCACCACACTAGTGAGCCTGAATGCATTAATGCATACAGATATATGTGCCTTCTGTGTTTGATATATAAGTATACTTGACTGGTACAAAAGCAATGATAATGTTGCACATAGATAGCCTCCTGCTCTTTTTATAATGAATGGTATATAAGAAGCTTAATCGGGAAAAATAGTCATGTAATATTTCTATCATATTTTGTGTTTTTGCAGTGAGAGAAAAACGCAAGAGTCTCTATATAAACCACGTAAGTGAAAATGCCTCGCTATGCAGCTTTCTCCTTGTTGTCTATATTATACAGTAAATAAGAGTTATCACACATGATTTCCATGTTGGTGAGAGAGTGCTGATGCTTCACATGTCTGTTCTGCATCAGGATCCAGAAGTATAGGTCTTGGCTATTGAGTTAGTGGAACAGATCTGTTGGTTTGAAGACCCTGTCATGCTCACAACCGATGTACATAGGTGACTGGTACCTGAGACAAAGAGCTGCGCACATTAGTATGATTGTAAAAATTATTACAGAAACTCTCAAAACTTTAAATTACATTTGTATGCAAGTGTACTTTGATAGAGAGCTGCAGCATTTGATATTTACACAGACGTTCTGAAGTGCCTGACCAGTGTTGGTGCAATGTAAATGTGGATTGACACGTGGTAGATGCTGAATATGAAAATGGTGTTTTGATACACTTGTGTACCCCGGGCATTTTTCATTTCAGTTCTTTTCTGTTTGAATCAAATTCTTAGTGAAGCTGAGAGCAAATCCCCTGTAGCCTGCTTTGGTTGGAGGACCAGGCTCTTTGCCCCAGTTAGTATTATTTGTGCTACTGAAGCACCTGGAACCAGTGCGGTTCCCAGTATGTTAAGCCTTGTGCTGAAATGTCTGGAGTCATGCCTCAGTAAAATTGAGGAGGGAAGGAACTAATTGTCTCCCAAATGGTATTTGCCTTTAGGGTGAAATGGGGAGAAGTTCTCAAACTTTTCTCTGTCTAGAAATATAAACCATAATTTCATGAATCATTGTTAAGCCAGTACAGCTGCTGAAAGAAGCAGATGTGGTTTATAGCCTCTGCATCCCTTTGTGCTGGGGCAAACATTTGTGCAGCTCCAGGTAAACTGGGGCACGAATGCAGATAGATTCAGCACGGCTAAAAGTTAAAATGGATCTGCTCCTAAATGTGGAGGGAGGCATGGAGGCAGGAATGAGCCGCCGAGTAGGGTGAGAAGGCAGGACTGCTTCATTTGCTGGCAGAACTGGTTTGTGCTGAGTGTTTCTGAAAGTACTGCCTGACTTCAAAAGCAAACTGAGATTTTTCAGTTTCCCAAGAGATTTTGAGAAATCGTGAGGTACTGTGAGGCTTATAAGAGCCTTAAAGTTGGCCCCACAGGTTAGCACATATTCTCAGTGCTTCTCACCTTCTATTCCCCTGTAAAACACTTCCATTGTTTACAGTGCATGTGAGGGTGGTTTGCAGTGCAATTGTATGGTTATAAAATTACTTGTAAAGCTAATGCACTGGGTTCCTGTAAACTTAATACTGTGTGCTCTGTAACTTCCAGCATGCTTTTTACCCTCAAACTTGGAGGGCTCAATGCAAAAAAATGAGTATGTAGACACTGCAAAGCAAGGTATTTATTAATTGAGTTTCTGTGACAGTCCAGTTCGTGTTGTGGATTAAATTCCCATGTGTCCTGAATCTCTTAATGTCATGCAGAAGATGTGTTCTGCATTAGGTAGACTGTGAGGGGATACGTGTGGTGGACTGAACAGAGATGACTACTACAAGTGCTGCTGGAAGCACACTATTGCGAACTCTGGCATAAAATATTTTTCGGCCACGCTGGGCTTGTTGCAGACAAGGGAAGGATGGTCATATCACTGAGGAGTTTTGTTGTTGAGAACTCGGTGTAGCAGCTTATGCAGTTGATACCCTAAGCACTATATTGCCTCCTAATTTCTTTTTTTTTTCCCCAATATTATTCAAAGCATTGACTAAGGTTACAGCAATGTAAACTTCCCCCAGTAGTCTGGTTTACTGCTTCCTTAAGTCTGACTTTTTTGTATTTATAAAGTACTTCTTCAGAATTACAAAGCTAAAAATAACCTTTATGAAGCTGAAGTCCTTACCACGTCTTTCTCTGTGTGTGTCCTTACAAGTCAGTCAGGTTTTTTAGCCCGTACCCATAGATAAGCGATATTTTCAAATGTGGCCATTGATATTTAATCTGTTGCTTTAGCATGTCTGTGAGTATTCATTCAGCACTTCCTAAATATTCAGTTATTCAGTCTGCTAAAGCTGACACACAAACTGGTGATCATTTTTGAAGTGGGTGCTGTAGACTTTAACTGGGTACTGTGTTTAGGGTTGTAGACTGCAGGAAACCATTATAATTGTCCTGGACCACCTTGTTTGAAGAAATTTGAGGAAATAGTTAAATTTTTAAATTGTGTGTGAGAAATTATGGGTAGTATTTACATGATAAATAAATTTATGATATGCCCTGTTGGTTGATCAGTTCTTCTGCACCATTTTTCAGTGTGTGCTAAGTGCATAATAACAGGAGCTATTGCTATTCATCTCTTTCCTTGTTGATGTGAAGTTCTGTGTCCCCACATCTGCTCTGGAGGGAACAAGCCAGAGGACATAAATTTTGGAGCATTGTTTTGTCTTCCTTTTACCACTCTTCACCATAATAAAACATGCTTCTCTTCTGTGGTTTTACCATAATGTCATCTTTTTATTTATTTATTTTATAAGTCTTTTGTACTTATTCTCCTTTTGTGACAAATAACCAAGATGAGCAATGAAATATTTTATATATTTTTATTCTTTTGTGCACTATCTTACTGGTTATTTTGCAGGCAGAGTTTAACATCTCCCAGATGATCAGGGTGGCTGTCTAGCAAAAGAAGCATCAAGAAATGTTGTGCTTTTTCTTCTTTAACTGCTTGTCTAGTTCTGTGTAGTAATAGATGAGAATTGTGTTTTATACAAATACAGTTTCAAAATGTTATGTATGAAGAAAATTAAGTTAATGAATTAATATTGACTCTCATTTTAAAATGCACTTTCGCAGCATAACACCACTGTTCTTTTCCTTTCTTGCTTGTAGAATATCTTAATTGGCTGAATAGTTTCCTTTCATCCCCAAATACAAATAGTGGGTCCCTGCTTTGATTTATTGTACTTTGTCAAAGGCTGGCAGTTGCCAAGTTTCAGATTCACCTTGTCAGTCAGTGTGATGGAAGAAGCCAGCATCTGTTGGGGGTGAGGAGGGCAAAGGGGAAGGAATGAAAGTGGAGGTGACAGGGTGCTACGGAGAAGTCATCATCTCTCAGTCTTCCCATGGAGCCCAGGGAAACAGGTGACAGGTTGGAGGTGGTGCTGGATCCTTTGCAAAACCTCCAGCATCCTTGTCAGTGCTGGAAGTTACCTACCTACAGTGTACCTGGCGTGTTTGCTTTCTTCCAGCCTATTTTAATTTCTAAGCAGTTGCAGCAGACTCTACTTCCCTTTCCTGTTGAACTGGCAGTTGTTGTTTTTTTGTTATGACTTTAATGCTGCCTCAGTGTGCACTTTTCTTTTAATCTACTTAGTCAAGCTGCTGAGGGGGATAAAGGCACAGACTGAGATACAGGTGTTTCCTTTTTCAGAGAGAGGAGATTTCATCAGTACCTCTGCCTGTACAAGGAAAGCAAACAGGAAGACATGTTTTATAGTTTTTGAGGGGGTGGGTGGAGAAAAAGTGAATCTTTTATTATTTTTTGCAGTAGTTAGTTCTTTACAGTAGGTGATTTTTATTTATTTATTTATTTATTTTCCTTCAGGAGAAAGAAGAGCAGGGGAGGGAAAATTTGTTTTTCATCAAGTTTTTCTAGAAGTTTTCCCTTTCAGGCAAGATGAAAATGCTGTTTCCAAAGTACTTTCTTCACTTCTTGACAAGATATGCTCTTAGAGTTGAATCTGTGTCTATGAGCAATAATATCCAGTAAAAATAAAGATATCTTTTACATACTGGAATATTTCTGAAGGAAGATAAAGGGAAGGAAGGTAAGGGGAAGTAATCTCTCTCCCACTTTTTTTTTGGTGACCCTTCATCAGCTTTGTAGCAACAGCTTCCTTCCAGCATCGTCTTGTTTAGGGATCTGGACATGACTTCCACTGTCTGCTACCCAGCAACTAGATGTTCAGATTCCAGCACACTAATACTGTTTTTATCATTCCAGGTAGAAAAACAAACATCTGTGTATAGACAAAAATTTTTTCAGTGTCCTGGAGAAAAGTTCTTGGGCATCATGCGTGTCAGAACCCCAGTCCCTGTAAGTCACCCTGCAGTGATTCACATCAGGGGAAGCTTCTTCCTGGAAGCAGCCCTACAATGGGGACTGGTGGAGAACAGAGGGGTCCTTTGCTGTACAGGTTGTGGCACAAGCAATTTCTGTGAGGCTTTTTGCATGCTTGAAATGATATGTAGTATTTGCTCCTGTGTAGTCCCCAAATTTTCTTGTCAGAGTGGATAAAGAGGCTGTTTGGCTTCTCTATTGTAAAACTACTAGGCATGTGACTGGTAGTCACGTCCTTTCAGCTAGTGATTATAAGAGTAAATAAGATACATGTTGAAATGGGAACATAGTCTGAAAAGTAATTTAATCTGTGAAAAATGCAAAGCACAACATAAAATGTGAAATGTTTTTAAGTGGACTGCCTGAGGCTGGCTATTGTAAAGGTTTATAATTGCTGTCCAAATGCCTTAAGATATTTTAATTAACATTCCTTACTCAGAAAAACAAGATAAACTGAAAGATAGATTAGAGGCTTCACAAGTGCTCTTGAAGCTCTCTTAGAGATTGCTTAATGTGGTCTTTGCTCCTCTCCATTGCAAGATCGCAAAAATACATGTCTAGAGGGGGCCTTTATAGGCCGTCTGACCCCTCTAGCACATTCCCTATACTGATGCCATTCCTGACAAATGCTGTTTCAGAGGCTTTTCAGGCTTCCAATAAGTTAGAATGAACAGGTTTTCTTTAATGGTTTACCTAAACTTACTGCTTGAAATGGTTTTTTTTAATGTCTTTCAGCCCCTTGCTTCTTTTTCTGACCTCAAGGGTGAAGAATTTTACCTCTCCTATCAGCCTCAAGGCAATAAGTTATATGAAGTGATAAAGTTTTGTAGGGGGGGGAACAAAGGATAACTTTTAAGGTGGAATGGGAGCATGTAGGAGAGTTCTTTTAGAAGGCTGCT